TAAGATAATCACTGGACTGTGAATCACAAGGCTGGAGGTTCAAGCCCACCAGCTACCCCTTGGAAACCCTATACGGGATTGCTATGAATCAGAAACAGATTCAATGGCACTTAACAGCAACAACAGATGGCATGAGTAGGCTCTATTGAATTGGTGTATGTTTTGCTTATGTATAAGAATGACTTCAAAAAGTTCGTGGAAAAATTCCATTATCTTTTTTCTTTCTAATTCCATTATCTTTTCATTCTTTTTCCCCACAAACTTTTTGAAGCTCCCTTGTATTCTCAACAACAAAGTAGATTTAAAAAAAAAAAAAAAAAAAAAGACAAGAAAGGGATAATGAGGGGCAAAGAACACAAAGTTTATAGCAGACAGTTTTTACTCATTAAGCTACACTGTTGTTTGGTTTTAAGAAAACATCGAGGGGTATTTTTGGTTTAAAGTTTAAAGATGATCTGAGGACAATAGTTTCAGAGATTCATGCAACTGTCATAGCTCCAGGGAGTCTGGAGTTCAAGAGAATTTTATATTCTGTTCTGCATTTTTCCCCTTTTAACCAGGCTACGACTATAAAATCTTTGGTCAAAATGTTCAGTCATAGTAACCGGGCACCATCCAGTTTTTCTGGTCTCGGGGCAAAGGAGGCAGTTTATGGAGATTCCATACGATTTTAAGAAACAAAAACATTTAGTTATTTTTACTAGCAAGTATAGACATTGTGTCTCAAGCCATTTTTGGAAAGGAATGATTCTGGAATTTATGTTAAACAGCATAGGACTCTGGTCTTTGATTGATTAAAATGAAATGCTTTCACACCAAGTTTTCATCTATTCAGGACCCCAAAGACTCTTTAGACCTAGTGTTATTTAACTACTCTGTAGAATCAAGGGAAAATCTGAATGAAAGAAAAAACTCCACAGAGAAAAGTTTTAAATATTGGCGGTTTAAAATAGCTAATCCCTGGTTTCTTAATGACAATTTCTTTCAAATTTCTCAAATTTATCTCTATTCACCCCAAAGTAGAAAGCTGTAGGTTTGGCATGATAATATTCCATCCTGTCAACATTCTTACTATAGTGACTTATATAGTTATTAGAACAATTACCAATAAATCCTTACGTGCCAATAACACATAAAGATGATATAAAATGGTAAAATGAATGCCTGAGCGCATTCATTTATATTAAACTGCACAACATCACAACCTGCTAGAGATAATCTGCCGTTATTATAACCTGTTAGGGATAATAACAGATATGAAAATGTGCATATGTAGTACCAATTTTCAAATGACTCTCAAATATTAGCTGAACCTTTTGAGACTCAAAACCATTCTGTGAGATTGGTATGAAGAGCGTCTGCATAGTACAGTAGAAACAGGTTTCGCCAGGTGAAGTGGAGAGCCCTAGTCCCTTAGGCAGTGTTAGACAGGGATAGGGCCTACCCCTGTCTAGAGCTCACCCACTTCTCAGTGTGTGCTGAGGCCTGTCAGGATTGACTGCCATGCTTTGGAAGACAGGCACCATTGATTAACGAATCAACAAGAGCGGAGGAAAAGGAGGATTTGGCTGACTCATCATTGAAGTATAAAAGTTTGTTAAAGATATATAACTTACTCATGTTCTTTGGGAAATTACCCAATAATGTGGTTCCTAGATATTCCACCAAATGAATTTTTGTTGTAGAATTTAAATATTAGTTTCTAATTATCACGAAGAATGTTAAATGCTTTCTCATGGTGGCATAGTGGTTAAGCAATCAGCTGCTAATTGAAAGGTCAGTGGTTCGAAACCACCAACTTTCCCATGGAATAAAGATATGGCAGTCAGCTTCTGTCAAGACTGACAGCCTGGAAAACCCTGTGGAGCAGTTTTATTTTGGCGTGTAGGGTTGTTATGAGTCGGAATCCACTTGATAGCAATGGGTTTGGTTTTTAGGTCTTTAGAATGTATTGTTGTTGTTGTTAAGTACTGTTGAATCAGTTCTGACTCAGAGTGACCCTGTATAGGGTTTCCAAGGAGCTGTTGGTGGGTTTGAAGGGCTAACCTTGTGGTTTGCAGTCCAGTGCTGTTCCTACAGCGCTACACCAGAATGTATTAGGATCAATTGTAATTTTTAGATGGTCTGCTTGTTTAAGAAATAAAGTATAGTAAGAAGAAAACAGTTCTATTTAAGATAGGTAATTACACAACATTTTATTTTGGTAAAAAGACCAGGTCTTTTAACATTTTCTTTTCGTTAAAGTCAAAACCATGACAGTCTTTTAAATACTGTAAGGAAGGTGAGGTAGCGGCTGGGATGGCGGAGGCTTTAGTGAGGAACTGTAGGACTGGCTGCTGGTTGCGCGAGAACCTTGCTGAGATGATGGACACAGCTGAGCGGAATAATGGGTACAATGGTCTTCTGCCTTGTGCAAATCTGCTGTCCCATGTGTCAAAAGACTAACACGACACAGCTCTAAGAAAGGGAAGAGCACAGAGGGGAGGAAGGGCCAAAGGGAGAAGTGTACTCCACCGGAAATGCAAACTTGGTGGTAGCAGACTGAGCACAGGTGGTTTTATGAGAAACCCACAACCAACTTACCTGCTCAAAGTTGGACTGCAGGCCAACAACTTTGTTCATTGGAAATGCTTTCAAAATTCATTAAACTAATTTTGAATGCGTCAAACGTCTTTGGTCAAAACATCACCAATAACTATTATATTGGGTGGACGAAAAATGTACATGGAAAAGTTTTACACTTCAGGAATTTTCTCCTCAGAAACCCTATTCAGGATCACTATGGGTCAGAACCAACTCGATGGCACTTAACAACAACAACAATTAGGAAGTTTGAAAATCTGGTCTCTTGAAGAGTCACTGAGATGTTAAAGTGACAGGCAGTTCTGACCATGCACAGGAAAGCCTCATTTAGGGCAGCCCTTCTTCAAGGACGGGCGGAGCCCTGGTGGCAGCATCAGCAGATTGTTGGAATGCATGCGAACTTGAGAGCCACTCATTTAGACAATAATGGGTTAATTTCAAAACAGAAAATGATCCAGGGGCTGTAGGATATGCACTGGGCTGCTAACCATGAGGTCGATGGCTCTTTGGAAACCCTATACAGGATTGCTATGAGTGGGAACCCACTTGATGGCACTTAACAATAATGGAATGAGACTCATTGAGGGATAGGCCAGTAGTCTGTTTTCACAAGGTCTCCAGATGATTCTTACCTGAACTATAGTTTGCAAAGCACTGATTTAGAATTGTTTGTTAAACTACTGGTTATAACCCATGTATAGTTGTTGTTGCTAAGTTCCGTTGAGTTGGTTCCGACCCATAGCGACCCTGTATAGGGTTTCCAAGGAGCAGTTGGTGAGCTTGAACTGCCAACCTTGCATTTCAAACGACTTTGCAGTCTGGTGTATTAACCCACAGTGCCACACCAGGACAAAGCAGTAGGTACCCTAATTTTTAGGATTTACTGTAAACATCTTGGGTAAAAAAATTGTGTATGTCTACAAAGGTAAAATAATTTGCTGATTACATAAAATTTGGTCTGGTCTTGGGCATTATCTCAGGTTTCCTGAATTCTTATGCAGCTTTCTCAATACTAAATTTTGCCTTACAGTTGAAGGTCAGGCTGGACTATCCTTAGTTCTTCGAACTCTGGATTTTTCTTCTGGATAGAGGTGTTTCGTGCAGTAGGTCTAATTCAGACCAAGTTTGTTTCTGCCTTGTTGGCATTGCTATTCTCAGTTGGTATCTTTTGTTTTTGTTTCAGTATCATTTGCATTGCTGAGCTTCTGAACATGAATGAGAAGGAAACCTAATGGCTAGGGAAGCAAGCCAAAAAGCCCAATGCCTTGGGAATCACAGTGACCCTAAAGGACAGAGTAGGGCTGCCCAAAGGGTTTCCAAGACTGTGTATCTTTCTGGAAACAGACTGCCACATGTTTCTCCCATGGCGCTGGGTTTGAGCCACCTGCTAGAGGCTAGCAGCTGAGCGCTTTACAGGATATAGCAATTACAACCACAACCACAAAAAGGCGAGGACGACACAGATCTTCTCCAGCGCCTGAGTGGCCACGTGCAGAAGAAGGGACTGCCTCCAGATTGGCTCCCGAGGGGCTCTGTCACTCCAATCAGCGTAGGCCCCACGGTGGAGGGGAGGGCGGGGCCAGCGATCTGTCCATCACGGAGTCCGAGGGTGGCAGCACCTACCACACCGCTGTACCTAGGCAGGGCGGAGTCGGGGCGGGAAGACCGCGGGCGGGTAAGGCGGGGATAGTCCAACCAGAGCCAATCTGAGGGGCTGCGAAAGGGGGCGGGGGCGGGGCAACCGCGCGCGACCCAAACACACCGGCCGAGCGCACCCCGCAGCCGCGTTTCCCCTCGCCTTCCGGTGCGAGAGTCGGGGAACCTCTTCTCCTCCTGGGTGCCCCCACCTTTGTGGCTCAGCCTCGCCCTCCCACCCCCCGCCGCCTTCCCAGCCCCGCCTGCCAGTGGAAGGCGGCCCTGCAGGCGGTGCGTTACGGGAGCGAGGCGACGGTTGCCGGGAAGCGCGCGCCGCCCCTCCCCTCGCGCGCCACCCTTCTCCCTCTGTCTCTGTTTCTAACAGCTGGCGTGGGGAGGAGGGAAGGTGGCCCCGGGCGAGTCTGGGCGGGCGCCTCCCACTCGCCCGCGAGCCGCTGTGGGAGCCAGAGGATGGCGGCGGTAGCAGCGAACGCCCGGGAGGAGGCGGTGCCGAGGCTCGGGGTGCAGACCGTGGCGGTGGTGGCAGAGAGCGGCAGCGGCCCGTCGTGGCGCACCAGAACCGAAACCAGTGGCAGCCGAACGGCCACCTGAGCCGCGTCCTCTCGCCGGAATCACAGAGCGGCGGCCACCGCTCCCGCTGCCAGGACTCCTTTATTTCCGCGGATCCTCGTCTTCCGCGCGCCGCGTCAGATCGCTGCACTAGACCGCCGTCCCAAAGAAGAGGGCGTCGGACGCCGACCGCCCCTCGGGGCGCACGGGCGGCGGCCCTGGACGTGCGGGGGCCTCTCGGGGCTGGCCGCGTCGCTTCGGCCCTGCCCTCTCTCTCCAGCGCTCGCTCCCGCCCTCCCGGCGCTCCGGGCGCTGCGCGCGGGCCGGGCCCGAGGCAGGGCGGACATGGGCGCCAAGCAGAGCGGCCCGGCCGCTGCTAACGGCCGCACCCGGGCGTACTCGGGATCAGACTTACCTTCCAGCAGCAGCGGAGGCGCCAATGGGACCGCGGGCGGCGGCGGGGCTCGGGCGGCGGCGGCGGCGGGGCGATTTCCGGCTCAGGTGCCCGGCGCGCAGCAGCCCAGTGCCTCCTCGGGCGGCGCGGCGGCGGCGGCCCCGGCTGCCCCACGTAGTCGCTCCCTTGGCGGGGCCGTGGGGACCGTGGCGTCGGGGGCCCGCGCGGCTCAGTCCTCCTTCAGCATCCCCAACAGCAGCAGCGGCCCGTACGGCTCGCAGGACTCGGTGCACAGCAGCCCGGAGGACGGCGGCAGCGGCGGCAGGGACCGGCCGGCGGGCGGGGGCTCCGGCGGGCCGCGCCTGGTGATCGGCTCCTTACCAGCCCACCTCTCGCCGCACATGTTTGGAGGTACGGCCCCTTCCCCGAGTGCCCGGCCGCCCCACCTCCCCAGGACTGCACGTGGGCCGCGGCGCCGGTTATTTTTACCCTTCTCCTTTTCTCCTTCACCCAAGCGCCTGGGCTTTGCCGGCCCGGCCCGCTCCGCGTTCGGTCACCCCTTCGGGGGAGAAAGTCTCTACTTAACCTTTGCGGCGCCATGTCTGCACAGACTTTTTTAAAAGGAGGCCAAATAGGACTGTGTGCCCCTTCTGCTTTCCCCCTTAGAGAAAGCGCCCCCTCTCTCCCCTGCCCCTCCCCCCTTGAAGGTAATGGAGTTTTAATGCTACCTTGTGGTTGTGGCTTGTTGTGTGAGGAAGTCAGGCGAAGACTCGTTGGTTTAAATGGAGTTCTATCAGGGGCTCAAAAGGTGGGCAGTTTTGAAAGAGCGTTGAGCATTTGAAAAAGAAGAGGGGCTTCCCTCCTCTGTGACAAGGAGCCCCAGTGGCGCAGTGGTTAAAGCGCTTGGGGGCAACCGAAAAGTCTGTGGTCTGGATTCGAACCCACCAGCCCCTTCACGGGAGAACGCTGTTGTAATCGGCTTCGGTAAAAATTTACTGCTTGGAAACCGTATGGGATAGCTCTATGGGAACTATCCCATACCGTATGGTTCCGACCCATACCGACCCTGTACAGAGTTTCCGAGGGTGTAAATCTTTTGGGGAGTAGAAAGCCTCATCTTTCTCCCTTGGAGCGGCTGGTAGTTTCCAACCGCCGACCTTAGTTTCGCAGCCCCATTTGTAACCACTACACTGGTAACCACAGAGCTCCTCTGTCCTAGGGGGTCACTATTCCACGCGGTGGTAGATTTCACGCGATGACAATGGGTTTGGTGGCTTGGTTTTCATCTCCTGTGAAGTAACTTTTAATTACAGTAATCCTTAAATCTGTGTACATGGTCCGACCTAGCACGGGCACTTTGATTGAATAATATGTCAATTAAGTGTATTTTTAACCCCTGTAAATTGCAATTTCAGATAGAAATCATGAGAGTCCCATTCAGTTTGGATACGGCACTTTAAAAAATTGTAAACAATTTAAGGAGACAGACTAAAAATTATTACAACCCTGTATAGAAGGTGCAGTAAAAGCTTGGATGCGTTTGAAGAGCCACGATGACTAGATCGAGTTAAGGAAAAAATGGAATTAGTAATAGTAAAGTGACTGCTTTTATGCAGATATTAGGAAGAATTGTGTACTTGGACTGGGGAAAATGATTTTTATCTCTATATTTTATGGTGTGTTACTTTATTTCAAAACGATTATAGTAAATGAATCAAGACCACCACCATACCCACCCGGCCCCCAACTTCACCCAAAAGTCTCAGAAATTAGTTAGGAGTTGCTGACTAAGCTTTCCTGTATCATTGAGTTATATACCTGGTAATATATAAATGTACAGCTATAGATGAACAGTGAAAAACCACCTCTTTCTGATGTTTATAAAGTTGTGAGTGTTGAGTAAGGGAGTTGGTAATTGATCTGTTGTGATGTTCTGTATGTTCTCTCAGCATGTACATGAGTATAAATTCAAATGGGAATGTCATGTGTAGTTTTTTCCCTTTTTTAGTACTGCTTTGCACATTGAAAATAACTCTATAGATAGAACTATACCTTACTTTAATTGCTCACTTTTAAATCATGTTGCTATGTAACTCAAAATAGTGATGGTGCTTAAAATTGTGCTAGCTCTTAAAAATCTTTTGTTCTTGAGAAGAAACAATGTAGTCCTTACTCTGACCTGACCCCAACCAATACTGTTGAAGGAACTGCCATCACCAAGTCAAATAGAAAGATATCTTCCTGAGAACTGAAGATAATGCCAGAACAAAGGGAAACTGGTTTGAAAAGAATACTTACCTTTTTAAAAATGAAAATTTGCATGTAGTAGTTATGGTCTTCAGAAGATCCAAATATTTAAAAGCTGGCTTAAAGAAGCTTTGCTTTGTCTGCTCAGTTAAAAGTAGGAAAAGACTTATCAAATGAGTAGTGTTTATTTCTTTAATGTGCTGATTACTTTAAAAATGGTTACTAATTCCCTTTGAGGAAGAATCAGTGTATTTGTAAAATACTTCCCTCTTAGACCAGGGGGACAAAGAGTTAGCAAATGAAAAAGGTCTAGTTGCAAAGAGTCAGAGGGATGGAGCACTGACCTCTTTAATTATCTGAGTTCCTAGAGTTGTGTGCTTGAGCTTGTAGCTTTTTGGTAAATTTTGGGATTAGGATGGCTGGGGCCTATTAGCAGGATTGTTGTTAAGTGCCTTGGAGTTGATTCTGCCTCATAGTGACCCTGGCTAGGGTTTCCAAGAAGAGTGGCTGGTGAGTTTGAACTGCCAACCTTGCGCTTCAAACCAACCTTGGGGTCCAGTGCGCTATCCTACAGCGTCACAACAGGACTCCTGTGGCAGGATAATGAGACTGTATAAGGAAGGTCTGTCAGCCTTTCTCAGTGGGCTTTCCAGAGAAAATTGCACCAATTATAGCTAATAAATCCTTTTTTTTTTTTTGCATTTAAAGTGGTACCTGTTATGTACCATTCTTGACAAAATTTGAGGAAACAGTCACTGAAATAATTTCTGTTTTCAGTGATTCAGATGAGGACCCTCGTTGAGAAATGATGGAAGATTAGAGAGAGTATCCATTCCTGTTAATAAGTTGTTGTTGTTAAGTGCCATCGAGTCGGTTACGACCCATAGCGACCCTGTACAGGGTTTCCAAGGGTGTAAATCTTTACGGGAGTAGAAAGCCTCATCTTTCTCCCACAGAGCGGCTGGTAGTTTCGAACCGCTGACCTTGAGGTTTGCAGGGCTTCAAAAAGTTCATGGGCAAATAGAATGAAAAGATAGTGGAGTTTTTCCACAAGCTCTTTGAATCTCCTTCAGATGATGGGATCAGGCCAAAGTGTCAGTACCCTAAATCCTTATTGAGACAGAGAGATGCAATATACCTCCATAGAAACCCATTTTTCTAAATAACATTTGCCTTAATGAGGTTTTTACTTTTATTTTGGTGAATGGGGGTCATCAGGGAAATTTAGTAGAAGCATGCTGAGTCTCGTCATCCTGTTATTTAGGGAGCTAGATGATAAGTCTGATTATCTTAAAAATGGTACTTGATTATACCTCACACAGACTTAATTTTTATTGTGTATTTCAGTACTTGTTGGTAAGTGCTGTCATGTCAATTCTGACTCACAGTGACCCTGTGTGAGGTTTCCGGGGCTTTTAAATCTTGAGGGAGCAGAAAGCCTCATCTTTCTCTCAAGAAGCAGCTGGTGGGCTCAAACCACTGACGTTGCTGATCTATAGAGCCACCTATTCCTATTAATGTATTTATTCAGTTGCAAATTGTATGAATGTTTAGACATGAGTGACGTATATAATGAATTAACTCAGTCTGAAAATGGAGAAAAGGATCATTTCTGAGTTAGTTGTTGCAGCAGTATTGTCAAACTTACTTTTTAATGGTTGCTTGTGTTGTTATTTCCTAATAAGAAAATATGGTATTAATAAGTTCAGAATTATCTTCTCTTGTGGGCTGGCATACTTATAAGGAAAGAAATCCTAACAGTATTACTTCTTTTTTCTGTCTCTTTAAAGAATCTAGCACGTCAGAATTGTTACTAGTTCTATCTTGGTTGTTGTTGTGTGCCATCAAGTTGGTTCTGACTCACAGCAACTCTGTAAATGGTTTCTGAGGAGTGTGTGGTGACCTCGCAGCTCAAACCAACCTAGAGATTCGAGTGCTTATCCTACAGTGCTGCAAGTCAGAATTGTGACTAGTTCTGTCTTAATGAACTGCCAGTAGAAGAGGTTTTCTGTGATGAGTTTTATGATTTGATATTTTCTGTATATACATGTTGACTATACATTCTCATTCAATTCTCTCCAGAGTGCTAGGAGAGAGATTGCTAGTCCAGATATTTCATTTTACATAACTTCCTGCAATCGAGTTGTTGGCCCTCAGAATAAAGGTTGTAGAATGTCCTGATTATAATCCACCTTGATTTTTAGGTGAAGTAAATCTTGTTTCAAACTGGTAAGCTAATACTTTCACCTCTGTTTTAAAACCTGCCTTTAAGGGTATATAGTCTTAATATTTAAAAGCCTTGGCAATGTATTAAGAATATAGAGGTTAGGGTTTATTTTATGTACCTTCATCCCCTCCCCCCCAACTATGAAGTTGCTAATATTATAAAAGCAATATGCACTTCTGGTGTGGCACTGTAGGATTAGCACTGGACTGCAAACCACAAGGTCAGCTGTTGAAATCCACTAGCTGCTACTTGGAGACCCTATACAGAGTCAGAACCAATACTTAGCAAGTCACACAGGCACTTAACAACAACTTGGGTGGTAACATAGCCTTTACTGATGCATCAAGAGTGAAGGAGGTAAAGTGTACTACAAAAAATATACAAATAAATCATTTCTAAAGAAGTCATGAGTTAGTTCATTACTAACTCTTCATTACAGTGTATTACAATAATGTAGACAATTAACCAGTGGTACTGTATTGCTTTTGGTTACCTCCTAACTAGCTTGAGCTTATTTGGTGTGTTGTGCCCACGGAATGTTTCAGTAGTCAGATTGTAATTTAGTTGCCTCCTGCTATTTAGGAAACATGCTTCCTTATATCAAAGGAGAGTGGGCTTTCTCTTAAAACTGTATATGTTAAATAAAAGCTGTATTCCTAGGTAGACTTAGTCTTCAAGACAAACAAGGTTTTTATGCTGTTAGAGTATCATCATTCATGAACCATGACTGAGTTGATCTCAGTCATTACTTCTTACAAGTGCCAAAATTTGGGATATTAAAATTAGTCTCCTTCCTACTCTGTTTATTCATTCACTTGAAGCCTTTTTGGAGGGAGTGGCAGAAGAGGAATGTTTGCTTCTAACTTTAAAAAACAACAACAACAACAACAAAAATTTTTTTAATCGCCTAATGGTGTGTCCCTCCCCCAATAATAAC